CTCTCCAGTGCTAGGATTAGCAGTGGGAACCAGCATGCCTGGTTGTAGTGTCATTACTGTTTTAAACTCTGTAATTTTCTTTGAAGATGTGTGCATTATTCAAGTGGGTTTTGCGTCAGACTCCGTAACATACTTCCTTCACTGAGAGAAGAATCTGAGTTTATATTCGGGTGACATACTACGTATGTCCCATTTATGACTGCAGCGCTGTCTGCCGTCAGCTCAGGAGTGTGCTTCAGAGCTCTGTGGCTCAGGGCTCCTGAGTGTGAAAAGCTCTAATTAAAATAGCTGCTCAACAGCTCTCACCTCATAGGGCTTTAATGCTAAACTTTGGAGTCTTTAGACTCTGGCGTCATAGAGACTGACTCCTGGGTTTTTGCTGCTTTCATTGTTATCCAGAGTCTTTTGTTTCTTATTTTTGGGGAATCTGGCAAATCTAGTACCTATTGCTCTATCTCCCTGATTGCAGGGTCTTTTGTAGTGTGTGTGTGTGTGTGTGTGTGTGTGTGTGTGTGTGTGTGTGTGTATTCATTTTCATAAATGCTAATTGATAATTTATTTTGTAGAGTTTTGTTTCTTTTACTAATTAGCTAATGAATACCTCTGGCTGATTATACAGGATGAGCCTGAGAAATAACTGAAGACATTTTGGTCTACAATATAACTGGCTTGTGAGGACCTGAACATTAGTGGTGATTTAATAGTAGTGATTTGGCATTCTGCTTTAAAAAACGAAGTTAAAAATAGTTGAATATTGCCAAGTGGTGGTGGCACACACCTTTAATCCCATCACTCTGGAGGCAGGTAGTTAGAGGCCAGCCTGGTCTACAGATTGAGTTCCAGGACAGCCAGCACCACACAGAGAAACCCTTTCTCAAAACAAAGCAAAACAACACAACCAAAAAACAGGGTTGGAGAGATGGCTCAGAGGTTAAGAGCACTGGCTGTTCTTCTAAAGGTCCTGAGTCCAATTCCCAGCACCCACATGGTGGCTCATAACTATCTACAGTGGTATCAGGTGCCCTCTTCTTGTATGCAGGCACACATGCAGGCAGAAAACTGTATAAATCAATCAATCAATCAATCAATCAATCAATCAATCAATCAGTCTGTCTCCAAAACAACTCAAAAAGCTAAAAACAACAACAACACAACAACAAAACACCCCAAGAAACAAAACAACCCCTCTCTCCACAAAAAAACAAAATAACTGAATCTGTATGAAGGTCAGAAAAGGTTTCTCTTATTTTTGAGAGCAGGTAGGCATTAACTTCCTATTAATTCAAAGTACAGGCTCTACCATTTGAGCCAAGCCACTAGCAGAGAATGTGTGTCTTACCACCAGCCTAGGCTGGTGAGGCTTGAGTCTTGAGTGATGGTCATCCTGCATTCTTGCGTTGCAGGCATGCCACATACACACAATACACAGCACAAAGTACAAGCAATTAACTTTTTTTTTTTTTTTTCCCCAAGGTAAGGTTTCTCTGTGTAGCCCTTGCTGTTCTGGAACTAACTGTGAAGTGCAGGCTCACCTTGAACTCAGAGATCTGGCTAATTCTGCCTCCTGAGTCCTGGGATTAAAGGCGTTTGTCATTATGCCCTGCTCTTTAATGTGTGTGTGTGTGTGTCTGTCTGGGTCTGGGTCTTCAGAGGTCAGAGGCGCTGGATTTCTACAGGTGGCTGTAAACTACCTGATGTGGGTGCTGGGAACCCAGCTCGGGTCCTCCAAAAGCAGTATGTGCTCTTAAGAGCTGAAGAGCTGAGCCATTTCTCCATCCCCACAAATCAATTAATTTTTAAAATCTCACTCCAGTGTGTACTAGTCATCTAAGTTATAGATGAACATAAGCAAAAAATAAGTATGGAATAGAGCACTTAAAATAGCATGGATTTAGTATCCCTGCAATTCTCAGAAGTGTTGTGTTTCTCTGTCTGCCTTGATTATGTATTTTGTCATGGCACATTTTCTTAATTGGTGCTACCCTTTGATACTGGTAACAGTCCATTTTCACAGGAGAGAGGACAAGGAAAGTGAGTACCCCGTGCTTTCATTTTCCACCTGTAGGCTTCTTCCTTCTTTCATTCCCATCTCAGTGGAAGAAATGTCTTCTTCCCCTTCTCTACTTCTGCTTAGAATGCTTACTATTATTTAAAACATTCGTTCTAATTTTAGGCTGTAGAATAGTTGCATAGTAAATAGTTCCTTATATTGCTCACCCTGCTCCCCTTGTTGCTAATGTCTTATATAACTGTAATTAGATATGTAATTTTCAAGAGTAAATAAGTAAATTAATTACAAGGGTAAATAATCAACATTAGTATAATATTACAAATAAGCCACAGACCTTGTTGAAATTAGCCTAAGTTTTCAACTGTCATTTTTCAGTCTCGGGGTCCTGTCTGAATTTATTTTAGCTACTGTTTGGTAGCCTCTTTCTCCTCTTCCTCCTCCTCCTCATCTTCCTCTTCCTCCTTCCTCCTCCTCATTTTCCTCTTTCTCCTCCTCCTCCTCTTCTCCTTCTCCTCTTCTTCTCTTCCTCCTACTCCTCCTTCCCCTTCTCTTTCTCCTCCCCCTCCTTTTTCTCCTCCTCCTTTTTTTCCTCTTCCCTCTCTCCCTCCTTCTCCTCTCCTCTTCTCCTTTTATTTTTTTGCAGCAGGGTCTCACTATGAAGCTCAGAGTGTCTTGGAACTCACTATGTAGATCAGACTGTCCTGGAACTCACAGAGATCCCTCTGCCTCTTCCTCCCAAGTGCTGGGATTAAAGTTGTGTGCCCTATGCCCAGCTTCCATCGTCTTTTGTACTCTGTAAATTTCCTTGTCTTTCATGAAATTTATACTTTTTGACAAATATAATCAGTTTTTAGACTATTCCGTTGCTATGAAGAGACCACATGCCAAGGCGCACACACATATTTTCTCATACATAAAGAGGTGAGGCCATTCTCATCATGCTGAGCGTGGCAGCCTGCAGGCACACATGGTGCTGGAGCGTTAGCGGAGAGTTCTACACCCTGAACTCTAGGCAAAGAGAGAAAGAGGGACAGAATGAGAGAGAGGTAGAGATTGAGAACGAGAGAACTCTACCATCTCACCATCCTGTAGGTCAAGTATCCCCTTGGTTCAGAGCTAGGCTTCCTGTGTGTTTTCCTATTTTCCCCTTCGTTTGTAGATAAAGGGGAAAAAATGGAGCTTGTTAGACTTTGGTTTTTTTCTGTGAGCAGTTACACAGTTTCAAACATGTCCTGTCTGTGGCTATGGGCCACATGTAGCCAAGGATGAATGTGGCCTGACACAAAAGTGTAAACTCAAAACATCATGAAACTTAAAAAAAAAAAAAACAACAAAAAACCTTAACTACAAGGTTCTTGAACATGAACCTTGTGCATGGTAACATTTTACAGAGTAGAGGTTGGACTTGTCTGGCTTGGATGGAGTCACTTAGATGGAGTCACTTTTGTATGTATAGACATAGGTGGTTTTCAGTGTTTCACGGCTGCAGAGGAGGCTGCAGTGCATTGTACATTGCTTTTTTATTACTGTTTAGTCTTGTTATGACAGATGAGGTTTTTTCTGTCAGCTCATCCACTGGTTGCTGCTGTATATGCAGGCTATTTATTGATATTTGAATATTTTGTATCTTGCTACTTCAAAGAATTCTTTTCATTTTGAATTAGTTTTATCATTGATTCTTTGGTTGCCCCCTCCCCGCACATTCTGCCTATTTGCAAATAGAGATACAGTTCTTTATTATTATTCTGATTTCTAATAACTTTATTATTATTCTGATTTCTTTAACTTTTGGTCAGTACTTCTAGTACAATACTGAATAATAGTGGAGATGGTGGAAATTTTTGTCTTACCCACTCTTAGAGGAAATGATTGTTATTTCTTGCATTCTCAATTTTATTTACTCATTAGTTATACAGTATTTTGCCTGCATGTGCACCTTCATGTCAGAAGAGGGCGCCAGATCTCGTTGGATGATGGTTGTGAGCCACCCTGTGGTTGCTGGGAATTGAACTCAGGACCTCTGGAAGAGCAGTGTTCGTAACCTCTGAGCCACCTCTCCAGCGATTGTTACTTCTTTATTAAATAAGACATAGAACACACATCGTATGCTAAGAGATTGTCAGTTACATTTCTAGTTTTGACTATTTAATTTTGAATGGGTGTATCATTTTGTCACCTATACTCCATCTCAGGGTGTATGTAAAAACTATGTTATATATTAATGATTTTTTCTAATATTGAACCAATCCTGTGCTCTTGGGCTAAATCCTACTCAGTCATTTTGAATTATTTTCTTATTATAGGCTGTTTATTAACAGTGAAATGCTTTTTTTTTATTTTTTATTTTTTATTTTTTTTATTTTTGAGAGGAGAAACCTGTTTCCTGCACTGTAGTGCCTAGCATGATGTCTTTCAGTTCTCTGTGATTGTCTCATGATTAGGGAGAGTACTTTTGGAACCTTTGCTTTTGTGCTTGACCGAGCGCTTTTATGTGGTGACTTTCTCCATGCAGGACTGGACAAATTAGAAGCAGGAATAGCTCATTAAGCTTTTATCAGGTGAAATCTGAGAATTCTGTTTTACTTAGGAAGCCATCACATCCGTTACCAGAATTAAAGTCTCTGGGCAAGAGGTGTGCGCTCTAGTTTGTCTTTGCTTGGGGAGACCACAGGTCAGAAACATTTTGGCTTTAGACATCTTTGATCAGTTTTCTTCTGACAGTTCAAGTTGATGGTCTTTTAAAGTGTTTCCTACATATATATGGTTTTATAAAATAGTTTTCTTCATTCTATATAAGTGCCTTTTCTGATTTTCTTAGAAGCATTTACCTGTATAATCAATAGATAATTCATGTAGCTGCATATAGTTTTATAACACAAATTCTAATCACAAGTAAGTTAATTATGCTGTGAGATATTTATAAGAATGCCAGTGGATGTCACTCTTTTAATTGAATGTTTAATATGTGCCTAACACATTTCACTTTTAGGTATGTCTGACTGCAGTGATGCTACAGCTCTCGGTACAGCTCAGCCAGCTACAGAAGAAGTCAAGTCTAAAGTTGAGGTGATTGGGGTGCTGTTTGCATTGCTTTGTAAAGTCAGCCTCTGTTAATCAAGGCCTCAGTCGAGATTGACTGAGGTGTCTGAACGTATACCATTTAATAGTACACTTGTACATAGTGACAGGATAAAACGACAGAGGCTGCTTTGTGACAAGGAGTGACTTAGATCTGCTTTTGGTGACCTAGAGCTTTTTTAAAAAATAAAACTGCTTTGTTGAAATGAGCTCATAAATAAAAACATCCCATTGCTAGATTAAGGTATCTATTCTGACAAACACTCGCCCAGTCTGAAACTCTAGAGGTAGAGCTTATTTGTCACATCAAAATGAAAATGAAAGCTGTACAGCAACTTATTTAATATATATAATGAAATACGGCAGTGGTTCAACGTGTCTATCAAAATGCTAGTAGTGTTCGTTGCCATAGGTTGCTCACATTTAGCTTACCTACTGCCATGTGTGCTTGCTCACTGAGCGTGCACCTGAGTCGGGGACAGAGCTTTTAACTACTACTGAGTGCTGTACTTGAGACTCAGCACACCTGCAGTGAGAAATACTTGTTTTGATAAATGGGTTTTTTTTTGTTGTTGTTGTTTGTTTGTTTCTATTGAATGTTCTAGAATTGATTCTGGTGAACCACCATACGGTCCACCGTTGTAGCTCATTAAACTAGGGAGAAAGATTTAATTAGGGAGAAAAAAAAAGGAAGAAAGAAAAAGATGATCAGCTCTTGTAGTTCATTAAGTGGAGAGAAAGATTAAACAGCTAAATTTTATTCTTGAGTTCAGGTCAGAGCAGTTGTTTTTGGCACATCGTAATTACGCTCCAGGCAGGGCTTTCTCTTGTCCCACACAGATCTTTAGAGTAATTCAGTCACATAATTAAAGTAGTTGCTATTTTTCCTGTTGTTTTGGTTGAATAAACCTAACTTTCAGACAGATGAAAGACTGACTGAAAGGATCTGGTAAGGCAAGAATACAACATGAGCCGCATGTGGTGGCACACCCCCTTAATCCCAGCACTCAGGGAGGCAGGGGCAGGCAGATCTCTGTGAGGTTGAGGCCAGCCTGGTCTACAAAGTGAGTTCAGGAGAGCCAAGGCTACACAGAGAAACCCTGGCTCGAAAAAAAAAAAAAAAACTAAATAAATAAATTAACAAACAAACAAATAAGTATATAAATGATTAGTGAGAAGAAAATAATTGGGAGGAGGATTTTGAGTGTCAAGTTGAGGAGGTGGCCTTTATTTTACCGATACTGGGCAGAGACAGACATGTTGACTGTTTATCATTGTGTACTACAATGTGCACATGTGTGAATGAAGTATGGCAGAGGGCTGACCGTGACAGAGAGTGCCCGTTTACAAAGGCTGGTCAGAGGCAGCTTTCTGAGGATATCAACTTTGAGTGGAAACTTGAAAAAGACAAGAGTCGTGCAGGGAAGCGGCGAAAGCAAAAAATGGGATTGTGTGCTTGAGCAACAGCGTAGCATTCTGGGCTGTACGTGGTGTGGCTGAGGAAGGAAGGGAAGGGATGTTTCAGGAGGGAGCTAAGACTGGCAGAGTAGACATGGCAGCGACGGGCAGCAGATGCGTGGTTAGGCGAGGCTCTGAAACAGTGCTCGAGCAGTGAGAGCCTGAAGACACATGATGCTCAGGGGGACAGCCTTGGGGTCAGGCACATGCCTTTGTGACAGTAAAAAAATGGACGAAATTCCCATATGTGTATGCAGATCCAGTAATTACCTGGATTTAACCTGCCTGTTTTCTTCCTTCGTTTATAATAGTAGGGTTAGAGTCCTGTTTATTGACACCATAGAATTATGAAAATGACTTAAATGCGGGGAGAAAGAAAGCTATAGACATTGATACTTACATCTATAATTTAACTATCTTGATTATGGTCTGTTGTAGAAAAGTAAGGCGTGCCCACAGGTACAGTAGTGAGGAATTCACTTTGGTAAATTCAGGTATCTCTTGTGAACTGTTGGGGAATTGTTCTGCATTCAGGTGTGTTTGGGGACCTGAAATGTTTCTGGATTTCAGTTTCACTTTGGTGTATTTCTAGATACATGGTGGTACGCTTTAGGGTTTGCTCCCACAGCTGGTCACAGAATTCATTTGAGTTTCGTGTAGACCTGTCCAGCTAGCCTGTGCTTTAACCAGCATCTGTCGCAGGTGCTGTGGGAAGCAGCGTCACCTGGGTGCTCAGGAGGCTCTTCAGGTTTTGGAAACACGAATGTTGGTGGAACTTCTCCCGAGTTTGACTATTAGTCTTGAGCGGAGGGTGATTGTAATGTCTTCGTGTCATGGTGTATAGTGGGTCATACTTGGTTTTCTAGCACCGTTAGCTTTTGCTTATCTCCCAGTGCTGGGGATTGCACTCAGGGCCTCGAGGGTCCGTGCAAGGCAGGTGTTCTACCCTGAGCCCCATGCCCAGCCTTACACTGGATGCACCTTTTAGTGATAGCATTTTATTCTAGCTTAGATTCCTTTGCGTGTATGGCGAGTGTTTGGGTGCATGTGTGTGCGTGGGTGCTCCTGCCACAGCACATGTGTGAAGTCAGAGGGAAATAGTGGGAGTGGGTTCTCTCTGTACAGTGTGGGCTCCACGGGTATCTGCTGAGCCATCCCACCAGCCCTGGTGATCTCCTTACAGCGAGGGACACGAGGTTACGGGAGTGAGGTGGAGAGGGGCGGACGCCAACCTCAGCTCCGTGTCCTTTAGTGCTGGAGCCATACTGAGCTGACACTTTGCGATACATATAGTCATCATTTTAATGAATTGTATTTGTATTAATGGTGGAGGAAAGTTCACAGAATATTTGAATTATGAGCTTATTAGAATTGGGCAAACAGGAAAAATGTGAATAGTTTTATCTGACACAAAAGGCATTTTTCTTCTGGTTTGGAGCAGTCTGTGTTTAGTCCACCAGGAGCTGAGGCCCTCCTGTCGGAAGCAAAGCCAGAGCAGTCGGGCTGGTGCCCTTGCAGCTTCTTTTCCTCTCTGTCTCCTGTGTTCACTTCTGTTTACCCAGACCTGACTGAAATTAACCCTACAAAACTGGTAGGAAATTAACTACTAGAAAGCAGGAAAAAGAAACCCAAGCCTTACTGAACATCAGCAGTGACCTAGATGTTAAAATATTTTGGGTCTTTCTATTACATTTTCTAAGAACTTTATAAAAATGTGGTAGATTTAGGAAACAACTGGGGAAGCTTTTAAGCTCACTTTTATATCTTTAATTTGCTGGCTTAGTGGTAAAATAGGATGAGCAATTCAGTTGGGTTGAAATTAACCTGTTAATTTAGTTGTTAAATAAATCAAACTGCTGTTAAGTGATGATAAGTGCCTTATATAGTTGGCAATGCTGTAGATCATTTCTGTAAAGATTCTAGGTTTTTTTTAAAGTATGTTTTAGAAAGTAAGTTTTCCTGTGCATAAACTTGTTTCTTATACGTGTTTCTTTTGCGTTATTAAGTTTCTGGCCTTTGGGTGAATGAACTTCGTTAATGACACTGGTTGTCCCTATGACAGTCTGCTCATTAGTGCCTAGTTGTCAAATGGAAAGCCTTTTGTAACATCAAGGTCTATTTTCAGGATTTGGGAAATGTGAATAAGCCAGAAAAATGTTACCTGAACATTTTAAGCCTTGGTCTTGGCAGCTATAGAAAGGGTGTAGACTGAGTGTTGAGAATGAGCAGAGGTGCTGTGTGAAGTTGGACTTAGTGGACATTTGGTTGCCGGTTGGCCAGTGTGAGGAGTAAGGGGAGGTTAGGGTCTGAGAAGCAGTTGTAGAAGTGAGCAGGGGACAAGCTAAGTAATCTTGAGGAGCGTGCTATTTTTGTTATGCAAGGAAAGCTTGCAGGAGAGCTGAAGGCACCGGGGTGTGCCCTCTTACACGCGCAGGTGCAGTGGGTCCTTTGTAAGAAAGGATTAGATGCTAACTGAGGCCTGCTAGTCTGAGGAGTTTACACAGCAGGCTGCAGACTGAGTTTCTCAACCTTGACATTGTTAATACAGTTGATCAGATAATTTTAACTCATCATATAATTTCAGTCATTTTTGAAGAAACGATGTGTTATGAGGTTAATATTTCAAATCAGCATGCCAGGTTTGAAGCCTAGTTTATCAATGGCTAGCTGACCTCAGAGGATTTCCTAAAAAGAGAAAGCCAGAGGCTAGTTCTGCGTGTTGACATACAAGAAGCAGAGAGAATTGAAGCACTTGCTGTGTGAGACGCAGGTAGAATATGGGCAGTACTCACTGTCAGTCCTTCCTCTTACAGGGCTTCATTTGCAAGAGAGTGCATTATGCAGTTTAATTCCTTAACCTTCGTAGGCCCTAGGGTCTTCACTGAAGTTGAGAACATTATATTTATCTTTTAGGCAGCTGTGAGTCTTCAGAGAAATAATTCATGTAATGTCAGAGTCAGGAACCTTTAAACTCGGAAGCTGGCTTCAAAGCATTCTGGTATCTGGGAGTTGGTAAAGCATATCAGAGTTACCACAAAAACATTCCTAAGAACTCTGGAGGACCTTCTTCCGTTCATCTGCTGTTGAGTCTGAAGCCAGCTCACCAATCAGCTACTCAGAAAAAGAGGCTTCCTAAAGCTGTCTTTTCCTGAAGGTTTAAAATATGCAGGCTTTCCCAATATTGAGTGAGAACCGCAGCGACCAGCCAAACAAGTAAATGAACAAATGAGAAATCCGTAACTCTTGGCTGAAGTCTGATTTGACAAACCAGTCATGTCCCCATTGCTACTGTAGACTTCTGAGATGGGTAGTAGGGCTCTTCCTCTGTGACTGCGTGCAGCCCAGGCACAGCCGTTATTTAGCTGTTTCCATGTTTGGATCCTCACTTGGAGGCTTTGCTTGGTATTCCCAGACTCTGGATAAAATGGGGTGTTTGATCGGGGTGACAAGACACCACGTACCCTGCCAGACTTGCTGGGGGCAGAGCTTGGCCTTCCAGGAAAAAGAATCCCTTTACTGTTTAAAAACAGTGAAATGGGAGCGGCGCGTGGTGACCCACATCTTTAATCTCAGAGCTTGGGAGGCAGAGGCTGGCGGATCTCTGTGAGGTCAGCCTGGTCTACAGAGGGGATTCCAGGAGAGCCAGAACTACACAGAAAAACCCTGTTAGAAGGTTAACTCTGTTTTTAAAGTATATTCGACTACATACAAATCGAGTCAGCTACTACAAAAATAAATGCACTTTTCGTGTCAGCATAAAAAATTTAGTTGTGTAGAGTATTTGACTACTTTGATCTCTTCCTTAAGCATGACAGTGAATTTAGAATGTGTTTAGAATTAACAGGGCATGAAAGAAAGGAGGCACAATTTGGGGTTGCCTTATGAAGTAAGTGGAAAGTGTGATCGGGTTTTTGTCTTCAGACAGGTTGGCTTTTAAGAGATTGTTTCCAAAGACCCAGCTAGATAAGTGCCTTGCACTCAGTCCTGGGACTGGCTCATTGGTGGCAGGCACTGGGTTGTACTCACCTGCAAAAGCTAATTGTGAGGTTTTAAAGAGTTTGTAAACCAGCTACTCTTTAAAAATTTTAACTCTATGAACTTACAGTCCGGTTCTAGAGAGATGTCTCAGCAACTAACATTTGCTGCTCTTCCAGAGGAACTGGGTTCAGTTCTCAGCACCCACATTAGATGGCCCCAAACTACCTGTAATTCCAGATCCAGGGGATCCGATCCCTTCCTCAGGCCTCCGTGGGCACCCACAGACGTATGGCATACATGCGTGCAGAACTCTGATTCTTTAAACTTAGAACTGAGGCTAGGGAATGAAGCTCTTTTAAGTGCCCATGTCCTACAGAACAGGACCCTGCAGGGAGAGTCCAGGAGTTTTTGTTTTACTTTTGTTTGTGATGGTGGTGGTTTTTCAAGACAGGGTTTCTCTGTGTAGCCTTGGCTGTCCTGGCACTCATTCTGTAGACCAGGCTGGCCTTGAACTCAGAGATCCACCTACCTCTGCTTTCTAAATATTTGGATTAAAGGTGTGTGCCACCACTGCCCGGCTAAGTCTAGCAGATTTTTGTCATTGTTGTTGTGTTTGATTTGGTTTGGTTTCTTGAAAGAGGGTTTCTCTGTGTAGCCTTGGCTGTACTGGGCTTGCGTTGTAGACCTGGCTGGCCTCAAACTCACAGAGACCTGCCTGCCCTTGTCTCCCTGAGTGCTGAGATTACAAGGATGCACCACCACGCCCAACTAGCCCATCAGTTTTTAGACACTTAAAAAAAAATTCTTCCAGAGGATACTCTGATTTTTTTTCCAGTGTTAATGATCAAATCCAGGGTCTCGCTAACAAACCTCTTATTGCATTCTTTTGGATTCAAGTCTGTAGTTAAGTGTGCACACATTTGTAGCTGTTCATCGTGTTGGTAACTGCACTGCGGATGGGGCAGTAGCTAGACTCTGTTGACAACATTGGGAGTTACTGACTCTGCTGTGACAAATACTCATCTGCTGCCATTATTTTAGTGGTTATCCTTGTCAAAATTTAAGACGTATGTAACACAAAAAGAGGCATGATGGTGGCGCCTGGTACTTGTCATATGACTTTTCTCTCGCCGTGAGACAGCAGGTGTTTTGTTGTTGTTTGTGTTGTCATCATGGTGACTATATGTGTATACAGGAATATAGCACATGTGTGATAGATCATGAAATGTTGGCTGGCCGGTAGTAGGTGTGCGTACATAAGTCTTGAAGTGAGCTTTTATAGTTTGGTGTTAATATGGCCTTTTCGCTTTCATTAATTAATTTGTTATTTTTTTAAATTTAGGAGTCTGCCATGGCTCAAGAGTCTCCCAAAAATTCTGCAGCGGAAATTCCAGTAACTAGTAATGGAGAAGTTGATGACTCCCATGAACACGGCTATACTAGGGTAAGAACACTTTACTTTCTGTTAATGCAGAGAATTGCTGCAGGTTTTTGCCAGTAATCTGAGGTTGTTATGAGGAATACTGGGTAGGCTGTCATACTGAGTTGCCAAGGTTGAGCTCCAGGGCCATAGCTTTGCTGTGTAGCTCAGTAATAGGAACATAGAAACATAAACTAAAATTTTATGTCATTAGCCAGAATGACAATGTATCTTACAATTTTGGCATATAAGTTATATAGTTTTTTTTTAGTTTCATAAGAAAAAAATAATAAATCTAGTATTTTACCCCTTTAAATATTACTTATAGACATTAACATATCCTTTTTAAATTTAGCATCGTATAACTGCTTTGTTTGAAAGTACGCGATGTCTAAGTAGCTGCTCTTGATTTTGCTGTTGTTTTAGTTTCCCTTCTGTTGCTGTGATAAGTACCATGACCAAAGTGGCTCCTGGAAGGGAGGGTATTTGGGCTATGGTTCTGGAAAGAGAGTCCACGCTGGGTGGGAAGCGTGGTGTAGAGTAGGAGCAAGAAGCTGCCAGTCAGATTCCTCTCCACACGCACAAAGGGTAAACTGAGAACAGGCAGTGTAGCCTCTCCAGTGGCGTACTTCCTCCAGCAAGGCTCTGCCATAAAGCCTCCGCAACCTCCTCCAACAACCTGTCAACCCAAGTGTTCAAATACATGAGCCTGTGGGGGACATTTTCATTCAAACCGCGAAAGCAGTTAATATCCTGAAAGCGGCATAATTGGCTGAGAAAGAAACTAAAATTTGAGGTGCATTTGTGTGTGTGTGTGTATGTGTGTATGTGCTGGGATTGAACCTGAGGCCTTGTGAATAATAAGCATATACTCTACCACTGAACTACAACCCTAGCCTAGTGCATTTAATTTTGTTCTGCCTCTAAATTTGGAATTCAATTAAATGTGTTCTAATGGAAAAATATGAGATTGGAAATCATTTGGGTTCACACTTCAGCTGTGTCATTTCTTACACTGTAACCTTGAGCGTGTTTCTGTTTGTATAATAAAAATAGTTACTTTGATGAGGGTATTAATAGTGAGATGAGTAGTGTGCCTTCTGAGGCCAGAAATGATAGTGCTACTTGTTATTTCTGAGTTAAACATTCTTCTAATGACATTTGATACGAGTGTACAACTTCAACTAAAAATATGGTTTCTATGGCCTTAAAAGGTTAATTTTGTTTTATTTTGCTTGTTTCTTTGTTTTTTAGACAGGGTCTCACTATGTAGCTCTGTCTGGCCAGGAACTCACTATGTAGACCAGGCTGGCACTGAACTCACAGAGATAGGCTTGCTTCTGCCTCTGGAGTTCTGGGATTAAATATACACAGCCGCTGGGTGTGTGTGTGATCGTGTGATTGAAAAACTAGTGGTTGAAAAGTTGTTAAATTATTTTAGCGTTTAGATACGCTTCTGCTTCCTACTTGAGAATGAAATTTCTGTGATGTTTTAGCTCAGCGCTCTCTGTCTGTGTCACTCTAACTTGCGTGGGCATTGGCCTGTGCTTTGTAAGTTGGTTAGCATAGCCTTGACTGCTTTCATACCCGCCAGCGGCCCCTCTCTTTTCTGACAAGCAGATAATTCTTCATGCAATGCTTAGTGTCAGGGTGGGGAGAAACTTACTTCTGGGTGGGAACTACTATTTTAGATTGTTCTCTGTGATAGTCTCCACACCTGATATTTATCTTAGTGTTTTCTATGGACAGAGTGCTTGAGAATGAATAATTTATAAGGAAAAGGTTTAGTTAAGTCACAGTTCTATAGGCAGGAAGTTCAAGGTTAGGCGGCTGCATCATACCGTCCTGTACCCTGGCAGGTAACACCACGTGGAGAGTGTGTTGTGAGTGGTAACTAAGTGTATGCAAGGGAGGAGGAGACAAGTAAACAGTTTTAACAACCTGTTTTTGAGAGAATCGATCCACTCACGAGAAAGCCGTCTGTGCCTCTCAGACGCCTCTCTTTAGCACGACAGCATAAATGACAGTGTAAATGTCTCCAGGGACAGACTGTGTTCACACTAGTAATTTCTTTCACTTGTCTGTGAGTGGCACCGCACCGAGGAAGTGCTTCGCCTGTGCAGTCAAGGTAACTTTCTGATCTCAATGTTTACTTTTTGTTCATATCAAGTTCTTTTTTTGGGTGTTGTTCTACAATTTACTTCACTTCATCTTAGAAGGCAGAGAAAGGAAAAACATGTTTGTCTCAGAGCCCCTCCATATCGGTGTGAACTTTTATCAGTGGCAGCGTTTCAGAGAAGCACTACACACTTGAACCAGCACATCCTGCCTCGTCCCACAGAGAAGCAGCACCCAGTGTGTACGCCCACTGCCCCCGCTCTTCACTGAGCGCATGTGTGCCGAGTCTCACATATCTGAGAGCCTGCAGTTAAAGTGACCTTTCCCCAAGAGTGGAAGCAATGTTTCAGAAGCACCTTTTGACTGTTTTCAAGGTCTTTTATGCATATGTTACCCTAAATAGTAGTTGCTTTATCATTTCAGTTTCTTAGTTAATGAACAAGAAACTGTGTTTAACCTCGAGTCATTTATTTTAATAAAAATAAAATTTTACAGAGAAAATAAGTGTATTATGGTGTTAATAGTAAATCAGTCTCACAGACCTAGATTCCTGAACAGAGATACATACATCTTTGCTGCTTGCTCATCTAGAGTCTTGTAGTAGTACTTTTGCATTATAGCCATAGTGCTTTCAAAGGATAGAATCTCACATGATCTCAGAATGGTAATTTACTGAGCTGCAATGATTTGGTTGGCCAGCTGGTGTCACTGTGGCACAAGCAATGCATTTACAAAACTTATTAAAGTTGACATTTTCATTTCTTGCCGCAGATTGTGTATTTTTATCTGACTTTGTGGCTTGTTCTGAGAGGCCATCCTCCGCATTCACATCTTTGTAGAGACTGATGGGAATGCTCCTGCTAGCAGTCCCTTAGTAGCGCTGTAGTACTAGGCTCATGTGTGAGTAACTCCTGGGATGGGCAGCAGTGGTCCTGGTCTCTCAGGAGCCACTTCTGCTCTCACAGAACATACTATTCTTTTTTCCTAAATAAAACTTTTGAACTGTATACCAACAATGGATGCTGTTAAAAAGTACTAAATAGCAGCTGGTGAAATGGTATAAACCTTCTAATCCCAGCTTTGGGGATGGAGGCCAGAAGGTCATGGTCATTCTCTGCTACATAGTAAGTTCAAGGCCAGATTGGACAACATGAGACTGTGTCTCAGAAGCACAGTAAACAGCAAAATAGAAAGCAAAAATGAAATACAGTGGATGTTGTTACCGTGTTTGTTAAATAATACCAGACATTTGCCAGTTGTAGCGTGAGGTAGAGAGGTAAACAGGTGTCACACACGGTTAAGCTTCTTGTCAGTTCAGCTGTGATTGTCAGGTTAGGGAAGTTACTTCATTAGATAGGGCAGAAATGGAGCTTTCCCTGTGGAATATCCCAAACAAATACAATAGTTTGGGTGTTTGCCATCTCTGAACTCTTGTATCAAAATTTCCACTTAAATGTGGGGAGTTACAACTGAGGGTCGTGAGATCATAAACACAGACTGCTAACTAGTTCAGGAGTTGCTGCTTAGAGACCCGTGGCTCTCCATGCTCTATTCTCCAGCAAGCAGAGGCCCCAGCGTGGTCAGGTGGAATTGCTAGCACTACACAGCTGTTCCCAAGCCTGTGTACTTTGACTGTATGTGCAGTGAGGGCGAGAATTTTCTCATTTCCTATTTCCAAGCCTGGCAGAATGTCTGGTGTGTAATAGAGTTTTCACTTCATGAGTGGTTTGTGAATGAACACGTTTGTTAGAGCTGGCCTAGAAATAAGGTTTCTGGACGTCTGAGGTGGGGGAGGGGGAGAGGCACTCCACTTTTCGGCCGACTGCATCTTGCTTCCTTACTTGTGCTGCTCCGGCTGTTGTTGCTTTTGTGGCTGTGCAGTCTTTGCTAATTTCTTAAATAACGTGGACAAATGATAGAGGTTGGTCAGATAAAGTATGCTGACAGTGTTAGGAGGAACTACTGCCAAGCTACAAGATCAGCTAGACAGATGAAGAAGGGTGAGGAGCGTTCCCCTCGAAGCACCTGTAAAGATTCTAAAGGAAGTGTAAAAACTGTGGGATTGTCACTTCACATGCCAAAGCGACTGTGTATGTGAGGTGGGACATAAAGTGTATGAGAAATGACCCTGAGACATCACAAAACATCAAGCTGTGTTAAGGGACTAACTTATGGAAAAGGCAGCGCAGAGCCACAAAACAGTATGAAAATGGGTTATCTCAACCAGATTGACATTTTGAAGGTTGAACCCGAGCTGAGCGTGGCGATACACACCTTAAATCCCAGTCTTGGGGAGGCAGAGGCAGAGGACCGTGAGTTAGAGGTGAGCCTTGAGGTCACTCTAAAGATGCTAGCCAGACCCTGTGAAGACGAGGTGGGATTGGAGGCGAGGAGGGCAAAGGGAGTTGTTTCGTACTACAGTGTAGAGATTCCATTGCAGGGCTGACAGGACAAGAGACAAGGAAAACAAGAATAGTCACCAAGACAGGAGAGGTAAGACCTAGATTCCAGTAGAGAAAGAACCACGCTTGAACAGCAGACTGTTCAGAGCCAGACACGTGGAAATCAGACTGTGATGTGGGAACGAGGGTAGGAACTGCTGTAGAAGGTGAAGTGCTTGAAGGGTCCCTAGAGCCTGTCGGTAGAGGATTGTTCCCTCGTTCGTAGTTCCCCTATAGCCAGAGTAAGAAGGAACAATTACTTCCTCTGCGGTTCTGCTCATGGGTTCAGGTGTCACACACACCATTAGGGTGTGCATCTTAAAACATTTATTGAATACTTCGTGTTCTTTATTTAGCTTGTTTCACACTGCTGTTCCAAAGTAGATTGCTATGCCAAGTTTCACATTGTGGATTTGGGCTTTAAATTTCCTTCTGGGACTGCAGAGATGGCTCAGCATTAAGAGC